GTGTAGGGCCAATCTCACCCATACGGACACGTTAGGCTCAATTAATTTATGTTCTCCTACATTATAAGATGAAAGTAAAATAAAGCGTTTCATTCGGAGTTTTAATGATTACGAAAAAAAATACCATTTTATTTCTAAAGATAAAATAAAAAATAAACTAAAGTGCGATGAGTGATTTTTACTTTCAGCGAGTGCTCCGCTGTTCAATGGTGCGCAAACACAATACATAGATATTACATGAACTAACAAGTAAAAACTTGTAAAACATAGGTAATAATATGCAACATGAAACCTCAAAATTTCTCTCTTAGGTGAGTCTTCAAGGTGCAACTTTTCGTATAATAAATAATAGAAAGAAAACCTGACATGATAAATTATTATTGAAATGCGAGATTTCCCGGGAAAATAAAATTTCCCGGGATTTTTCTCGTAGGGAATAAACGGCGGGAATCCCGGGAAAGAAACCCTAATGCCAATGCACACACATGCAATTTCCACCCTTTTTTGACTTTCTGGGGTTCAGGGAATCTCAAAATGTCAAGATTTGCAAAAAATCCTGAGTCAAATTTAAGATGATTACAATACTTTCTTGTATTATATACATATATAAAATAGCCAGGAATGTAATATTTAAATTATTCAAAATGACAATGGATTTAAAATTTAAATTGTTATTTTATTAATTCATAAATATAAATTAATTTGTACAGAGTATAGTATAAAATTATAAACTGGTTTTATTTATTTAATTTCTTACCTGACCACGATGAAGATAAACATCAGCATTATTGGGATCCAATTTGATTGCCTCATCGAAATCTTTCAGAGCATTTTCCATTTGTTCATACTGAACTTTCAAGGCGCCAATTTTAATAAGTGCATTAACACGCAACTATATATAATAAAAATCTATATATTACTATGAAAGCTTAACATTTGAAAAAACTTTTATAATCTTATATAATCAATTTGCCTTTATTTCCGATTATGTAATATGTTTATTGTTGTCAAATAATTTAAACTTTCAGATAAAATAATTATCTGAAAGTTAATTAATAATTATTAAATTTAACTAAAAATTGTTATTAATCATTTCTGTATCATATGAAAAATATGCCATAGTAGTACTTCATTCTATAACAAAAAAAAAAAAAAACCGAAATGCTCAGAATTTCCAAGAATTTCATGAAATTTTAAAGATTCTAAATAATTTGGATCTATTTAGAATCATTAAACATTTTACAAAATAATACATAAAACAATATGCATTCAAAAATATAGAATATATATACTACTAGACATCATTAAATGAAAAGATGTAGATAGCAAAAAATTAATTTGATTTCTTTAATTGATATAAAGAAATCTAAAAGTAAATAAATAAAAACATATAATATAATAAAAAATTAAAACACATTTAGAGCCTAGTTAAAGCACAGCATAGTTTTAAACTTTTAACCATAACTGGGCTAAGAGAGAATTTAAATACACAATTCATTTTAAATATATTTTTCAAGTATTTCACAAATACCATTTTACTATTACTACTGGACAAATAACTTGAAACAATGTAACAGATATTACATTTAATATCAAAATTCATTAGTTTTATCAAATACTGTTGTTTCAATAAAATTCTATTTTGTTTTTATTAAACAGAAGTTTTATACGTCAAAACAAAACTAACAATAAAACATACTTTTAAACTAACACTCAGTTTCAATATTTAAAGTGATCAATTTGGAAAAAGGTTTCTAATTAAATATATAATCATCGAATTTTGAAATTACATCTAATTATGCATACTTATCAAAACTAAAAATAAATAAATTTAGACATAATTTTTATTCTATTTATTTTTGGTTTTGCTTTTACTGCTCATTTCTTTCCTTTCAAATCAAACTCACTCCTGAACAAATTACCTTAACTCTTCAATAGCTATTTTGAAGAGTACACAACAACAATTCTTATAAATTAATGTAATTTTGAAATCTTAAAAAGGCAAAAAACCTTAAAATTGTACTAGAAAATAGTAGTACAATTTTATCTGAATTTCTGCTTGCCATGAAAGCAGCAACATTTCAGGATTTAATCTAAATGTTGTAAAGAAATGATAAAATATTAACACCGTTTTCTCAATGTTTTATAAGAACTTTTTGTTTGAATACATTTATGTTAATTCAAACTGTATGCATTAAAAAATACCAAACATATATTTTATTTCACTATGTTTATCCCCAAAAATGTTTATTATAATATAAATTATAAAACTTTTATGTTGTTCTATTAAAGTTTCTTATAACAGAAATGCAATTCACAAATGTGCTTCAAGAATGTTCATTGCTTTTAAAAGTGGAAATTTAAAGTTTTATTTAAATTTAAATTTAAAGTTAAATTTAAATTTAAAGTTGTTTTTAGAATATACATTATAGTATAAATAAATATATAAATAAAGTGTGCTTTGTTCCATAATAAATAAAACTACTGTTTTAAAAATAAAAGTTAAGTACAGTAGTGTGTTTAAAATTAAAAATTTTTCTTCATTTTGCTTCTTGTTTGGATTTGTATTAAATTATTATTTCAGCAACCTAATAGTGCTATATTTTCCCAAACTTATCACAACAACTTCTGTATGTTATAACACTCTTTTTTTATTCTTTTTAAGTACCTTTAACAAAATTCATTTTGAACTTATATTAATCTCTCTTCAGTTGTCATACATTAAACTGTACAAAACAAAGGTACAAATAAATTCTTGATTTTAATAACACAAACTAAGACATTAAAATGGAAACAGTAGGATAAACTTACATTTGGTATACAAACCAGATTATTAAATACACATTTGACTTTCAAATCTTCAAATATGTTATTAAAAGCAACAAGACATACCATAACATAAACACACATTTAAAATATAAATAAAACGAAGTGAAGAACTTTTACAGGGTACTTAAACATTATCGTAGATCCTCCTACTGGTTAAAAAATGATACCAAGAAGAATATAATTGCATACCATCATTATTATTAATTTTTATTTTTGAATTTTATTTCAAAATGTTTAATACATTTAAAAGGAAAATTCTTGAACTCCTTTTTAATTATTTTTAATGTTTTTATTTTTAAATTTTACATCCTTGGCTATTACAGTGGTGGGTTACTGCTGACATGTAATTATTATTTTTAATTTCTATAATATATGCTTTAAACTCATATCATCCTTCTTCAGGTACTTAAAAAAAAAAGTTTGGGAAAAAACAGCACTATTAGGTTGCTGAAATAGTAATTTAATTAAAAATTTTTGTTGGTTTTTTTTTCCTTCTTAAGTCTGAATAAATTCTCTTTAGAAAAAAATTAAAAAGATAAATAACAAAATTCTCATAAAGATCTTTTAAATTTCTTAAAGATGTCTATGTTTTATGTTTACAGGTAAACTCAAAATATATTTGTATCTTAACAATACAGTAGAGTAGGGGTGGCCAACAAGTTGATCACAAAGCCAATTTTGGTCAATTGCTCACAATATCTTGACTTAATGTGTTACACTTGTAACCAAATGCAATGATTGAATGTAACGCGCAAACACAACTGTAGTGATATCAGACCTCTGCAACCTCCGTCAGATGGGGTTTTGTCGGTCCATGTGCAATCCATTTGCATACAGTTGTAAAAGGGAAATAAGAAATGTAGACAAAGGGTCGTAAAACCGAAAAAAAAAAAAAGGCAGGAAGAGGGACAGTGAGAGTAAGTCAGGACATGGTAAAGAGAGGAAGGGTGAAGTGGTGGTCCCTGAAAGTGACAATATTGAGTTTCAATTTTTCTTCTATTTAAAATGTAAGTACCTTTTCTTCACGTTTTAAATTAAATTGTGGCCTTTCTTATCTACCTAAACATAGTATGTATTTCACATCTTCCCCTCACCACTTAGACTATGCCTATGACAACAAGTTGATCGCAACACATTTTTAAAATAAAAAGTACATCTTATGTACACAAAAGTTGGTCACCCCTGCAGTAGAGCATCAATTATCCAAAACAATTTGGGACTGGGGCTGTTCAGATAACTGATTTTTTGGATAACTGATCATGTACAAAAAAATATATTAACCTATCCCATGTTGAAATTTTTCTCCATTGTGTGTCACTTCCCGTTGAATTTTCATCAATNTCTAATTGCAGAAAAACACTTCATGCTAATATTTTTAAAATTAACTTTAGCTACAGCTTAAATAATACACTATTTACCTGAGCATATAATAAAAGGCATTCTGTAGATGTTGACATCTGTTCTAGAATTTGTTCAAATTCCTCTAACACAGCTTGAACTTTTTTCTCATCATGATGATTTAATGCATTTCTATACTGAACATAACATTTCTGTACTCTAGCAGATGGAAAATCTGGATTTGCAGCAACACTTTTTTCCATGTCTGATAAAGTTTGTTCCATATTATCAGTCAAAAGCATAATCTAACAAATAAAAATGATAATATATTCACAACTTACACATTAATTTAAAAGAAATTTTAATTTTATTATTCCTGATCAAGCCAGTTCAGAACAGAACATTGTAATATTAAAATTATATTTGATAGTAGTCCCTATAACAGAAACAACTAATCTTATCCAATATCTGAATGCCCTATATATAAATTTCTGCTACAACAATTGTAATTTAGCATCCATTGTGATAACCAAATTAAAAATCTTGGTATTAGATTTCCTTGAAGCATGTTTATGAAAACTGAAAAGTTGCACTACTAAAAACTTCATTCCTAGTGTCTTTGGCTGCAATTTTAAAATAAACTGTACACCTATAAATTCTCATTGTTGTTCATCTGTCTTTTCATTTGTTTCAATGGTGGTGTGTTCTACCATGATTGTGGGGTTTAGTGTTTCTTCTTACAAATTTTCAATATCTTATGATCTTATCAGTTCATTACAATAGGTTCAATTTAAAATCTGGTTTGTTTATTTTCATTGTTGTTGTTGTTTTCATACAGTAATATTTTAATATAAAATTTACACACTATGTTATTGTTTACAAACTTTCATTGCTGTTTACTGCATATTAAAGATAAAACAGTTCATTTAAAATTTCTAATAAAGATAATACATAACTTATTTGTTACATTACTTCCTACAAATATACTAAAAAACATCCACAAAACCTTTATATCACCAGCTGTAAAGTGTTTTTATTAGCAACTAACATTTTCAATCTTAAACAGATCTTCAAATCCAAATACACAATCAAATTAGAATACAAAATAGAACATACTAGTTTAAAAAATTGGAACAACCAATAAACAAATACCACATTGTGTATTTGTTTGCTGGTTGACATTCAGTACCTTAGGTAAAGGTACAAATTTACCAATCACAAAAAGTTTTAGCTTCTCTCTGGTTAAACTAATACATAGCAGAACTGTGAAACATCCTTTAGAAAGTTTTCCACTCTTACATTTGTCACCCTTCATAACAAGGCTCCTGTCAAGCATCACCTTAAAAAAAAAAAAAAAAAAGTCCATGCTCATCAGCATTAAAAATGTTGACATCTTTGAAGTCACAGGTGAAGTCTGGAAACTTTTCAATGAACTCTTCAACAACAACTACTGAAACTTTATTAGATTCACTACACATCACTTTCTGGGGTCCTCATGTTGCAGTTTAAATTTCATAAGCCAATCACTCGATGCTTGGAAATCTAATACCCTGAGCTCCTTTGCAAACTTTTCAGCAATTTCTTGGATCATCAGCCCAGACATTTGAGTGTTAACTACCCTCATTTGTTTGAACCAGTGTAATGTAACTTGATTGACTTCATCCAGCAAAGTTTCTTTTTTTCCATTGTAAATCTCTGCTTTCTTTATCATATCTCTCCAACTACTCTACTCATCATTATTTTTTTGGATATTGCTTACTGTTTGTCTTGCTTATACCAAAATGTTCTGTCACTGTTCTTTGGCTACTGTTTTCTAAAAAACACGTAAAAGATCAACGTTCTCCTTCAATGTCAACTCTCAGTTTTTTCCTTTTCACCATCATGACTCAATTAACAGAAAAATTTTCCAGTCAACTTGCATAGAGGAAAGACAAAAAGTAAAGCCTGGTTCTTTGTCATACAACTGCTTGGTGCTTTGCTTTGATGGCCCTGCAAAGCAAGTAAAATTACTCAATTTTTAAGCACACTCCACCATAGTAGTGAAGTACTTATGTTAGGACTTTTGTATGTCTGTCAAACATTATATGTTCAAGATTATGATCTCTTCAACCCATTTATTGTGTATGTGCAAAAGGGAACCGAACATTTTCATTTACAGTCACTGAAAACTATAGTAAAAACTACCTGGTTTGTCTGGAATCTATAAACCACATCCCTTACTGTATATTCAGTGAAAAATTCTTCTGAACTACTTGATTCCAAGAATTTATAAAATTTATTTTAAACAAAATTAATATTTGATTTGCTTTTGTGGAGCATGCTATCAGATTAGCTTGACCAATCTGTTTCTAATTGCAGAAAAACACTTCCGTCAATGTCACTTTCATACTCTCCCATGAAAGTAATAACTTCTCTTTCATACCTCCACTGTGAAAGTAAACAGACCTGCCTATTTTTTATTGTCTTTTTCAAAAATCATTTTCACACTTGGAAATCAATCAAATGACAGTTTTTTAATTTGACTTGGATAAATGTTTTTTTTTACAATAGAACAGTGTCAAGAAGGCCCATTGAGTAGAGACAAGATAATTCAAGTTCCACTTGTTGGAACACATTTTCTGGAAAAGGTCAATTGGTGAATCATCCTGCACAAGTTGAGACATGTATGCCAACTAAGGCAGACCCAATGGAAAGCTACCCATCCAGCTCCGGATTGGTCAGCCAACGGATCTAAAAATTAGACATAAGGAATATAACCATTGAAATGGAGGAGAAACAAGCCTGGCCTAAGACTGTGTTGGAAGAAGCATGCAAGAAACATTGCTATATATGTATTGTGAATATTGTTAAATAAATGGACTTAGTCAGAGTTCAAGGAGTCATAAGGTGTTCTTTTTGACAGACCACAGTTCGGAAATCAGAAGGCATGATCCAAACTTTAGCTAGTTTCCTGCTGTCTGATAGATTACATTTTATTTTTACATTTTTATGCAACATATTCGTGAATTAGGCTTAAGTGATCACCTACAGACGACAATCACCAGTGGCAAGGTCACAGCTAAGCCTACTTGATATTCCCTATCGGGTTAAGAAATGAATCTTAACCCAATAGTTAACCCTATAATTATCACTGTTAAATTGCCAAATCAAATATTGTATTTTTTCTTGAAGAAATTTGTTGCTACTAGTGTTTCTCAAACAAGATTCTGGGATCCCAGTTGTTTTTTTAACCCGGGATATATCCCGGGAAATTCCGCAAATTTCTTAAAAATTCACTTTTCTTCTTATTTTGTGTTAAGGTTAAGAAATTTTGCAAATAAAAAGCATAATTATCTCATTCACTGTCAGAATACATTTATATTTATTAATTTTAAACTACCTATTAGGGTTTTTTTTAAATTTTTGCTTGTTATGGCATGTCACAAATGGTCGATAATCAATACGTAGCTTATTTGTGCCAGGACTCTGAAAATTCTTTACACTTGTCAAAACTTGTAATATATGGAATAATTGTGCTTACACTGTCTTAATTTTTAACCATGCCCAGTAGCTTCAATAAATGCGTAACGCCAGATTGTGCAAATTGGGCAAAGATACAAACGAGTATAAAGTCTGCAAGTATGAAGTTTATGAAGTTTTTCTTCATAAACCTAATTATTAAAGCCAAACGAATTGTCGAATTATTGAGCTATAAGCTTGATGCCGCTATTAAAGCAGCTGAGGTGGACAAATAAAAAATACTAGAGAGTAAAAGAAGTACTACAATCTCGAAAAAAAACTCGAAATCTTCCAGGCTACAGGTGAAAAAACACATATCATCTGTCTTCTCTTAAATGCATTAAACATGATTCCAATCGCATCAATTGAATCGGAAAGGGCATTCTTGGTAGCAAGACTTTTCATTACTAAAATAAGAATTAGAGTGAGTGATCGGAATATTGATCATCTTTGCTTTTTAAAATCTTATAAAAGTTTGCAATATTTTGTATTATATTTTATTTAAAACACGAAAATTACCTTCTAAGTTATATTTAATCTAAGTTCAATTTTTAATTTTTAACTGAATTCAAAGCATTTTTGTTGTTGTTGTTGTATGCAGTTTTTAGCAAACTTTAATAAATTTTTTTCTATTTGTGAAAATTTCTACGTAATTCAAAGGTAATTTTTATTATATATCTTACACAGCATTATTAGTATGATTTTGGATGATACATAACTTTAAAATTATTTTAAAAAAATGGAAAATAATTATATCATTTAATTTCAACATATTTTGTATACCTTAAAAATAATTGATTCTATCCTGGGATTCCAGGAAACAGTTCACTTTTATCCTGGAATCCCGAGACAAGCAAAAGACAATTCTGCATTTCATTTTTGTTCCCTTCTTTTTCTTTGGACTCAACTGGTCAAGTTATAGAGAGATTGTCCAAGTGGTCAAGATACAACTTAGAGGTGGCTGATATAGAAGGCTGATTTCCTATTGTATACAGTACATATGGTGTATGTCTGGTCCACAAAAATTAAGTCAACTTAGGAAGGTAATCAACTATAGAGGTTCTACTGTATCTTAAACTTTTCAGATCAAGCTTCTATTGCATGACACTGATATAAAAAAAATAAGCTAGCAAGGGCTCTTGCTCGACTTTCTTGGCATTTGAACAGTAGTTTAAGGAAACCATTAGGAAATCCAATAATTTTCAATTATACAATAATATAAAATTTAAATAAATAAAAGCTTAAGATGAATAATTTTGTTGAATTGTGAGAACTTTTGTTATTAAAAAAAAATATATTTGTTTAAGAAACACTAAGACACATTAGCACAGAGTTAAAATCGTGTATGATATCATTTGTTATGAGATATTATAAAGTAACTTTTATATTATAATTATTAATTATTATAAACAGGCAAAAGGCTTAATTTTGAGGGTAGAGATGAGTGTTTTTAAAAATTGTACATGCAAATAAATAAAATTTTCATGAAATCCAATCCCATTTCAGATATGATACATAACCCTCTATATTACTACTCTCTCAACCTTTAACCACCAAAATTTAACAACATCAATGCAAAATTTTATTTCTTTATCTTTAATCCATCCTGAGATATTAAATAAAATAGATGCCAATTAGGGTTTCTCATTTCCCGGGAAATTTGCCTCCAGCGGGATTACGGGAAAAATAATTT